CATTAAGAGAAGTTAGTGGTTACCTTCTCACCTTCAAGGGTAAATTCTACAATATTTTCTCCGACACGACTCACTCATGATAGTCGATTCCTATATTATGTTTGGTGACAGAATTGTTGTTCCAAAAACATTACGCCACAAGGCTCTGAGACAATTCCACAGAGGTCATCCCGGCATCAATAAGTTGAAAGCGTTGGCTCGAAGCTATGCTTACTGGCCTACAATGGATCAAGATATCTAAACCAGATGCCACAATTGTTCGTCGTGCCTGCAAGCAGCTAAAAGTCCAAAGAAGTGTGAACCACAACAATGGGAAAAAAGTAATAGTCCCTAGGAGAGGCTGCGTGCAGATTTTGCCAGCCCAGTACGAGGAAGAATGTTTCTAGTCATAGTGGATGCACACACAAAATGGTCACAAATTTATGCCATGGCAAATTGCACAGCCAGTGAAACAATTAGCAAGTTATCTGAACTGTTTAACTGCTTTAGAGTTCCGGAGAATTTAGTGACCGATAACGGTTCACAACTCACTGCAGAATCATCCAAGCACTTCTGCAACATTAATGGGATTGTACATATACGCTCTCCATCCTATCACCCTCAATCAAATGGACAGGCAGAACGCTTCGTGGACTCATTCAAAAGAGAACTACTGTAAGAGGAAGGCGAGGGCAAAAGTCAGGTAATTACGAAATTCATAACAGCTTATAGAAATACGCGTAACTAACTACGTCTAACTTAGGTCGGTTCATGATTTTAATCGAAAACAAGGAAGAATAGGTCTAGAAATAATATCAAATTAGTTGTATTCCACACTTAAATAAAATTAATTTCACAACTCAGCTAAGGTATATATGTTAATTGTTAGATATGAGTGGATAATAAGTGAAAAAGATTGAACTTTCAAAACTATTCTACAGGGAGTTATTTTTATGTACATTCATTAAATGTTCCAGGTTACGGTATTTTATTATTGTCCTAATCGTAACCTGTCATTTAACAGTTGGTATATGTTTTTGATTGTTTAATAAACTATTACTTATTAACTATATTTATGTTTTATATATATGACCTACTTATGTACCAGTTATGATTTTTAATACGGGGTTGTGGAGATTACTAAGTTTTGATTGAGATCATGAACTGATTAATGTTAGACCACCGGTGAAAATCTAGAAGCACTGGATGGCCGTTTCGTTATAGCATGGGACCCCTCAGAAGTGGGCACCCACGATTCCGCACGCGGGACTCGGACCCAGGGTCTTCGGTCTCGCGCGCGAACGCTCAAAATCTAGACCACTGGGTCAGCATCCAATGATGTTAATGTCTAACCTCAACCAATCCATGAAATTGCGCGACCATCTTCCATTGTCCGAGGTAAATACCTGTATCTGCCTGACACGGATTAGCTCCACTGATCACGGCTTCTCACTAGAACTCCGAGAATCCCCTCATGAAACTAGTCACTAGTGAGCACATGGTAATTATATATATATGGAGAATTATGTGGGCCAATAGACGTTAAGATATCTAAGCGATTTTGCGGTGTCGGCCATTTGTGTTATTGGCCAAGCCAAGATCATTCGTCCCATTGACGTTAGGTGAAGTCCTCGTTAGTAGAATGTTAGAACTTAGTGACCATATAGAAGTTGAATCCATAAAACTAGTACCAATTACCTCGGGATGAAAACCGTCGCAACTCTAGTTGGGTAACTTTGTTATGTTATTCTTACTAAACTTACAGGTAATACAAGTCTGACACATCATAAATAGTCAGTCATAAAATGTACGTAATTAGGATGTTGATCATACAAATTTACCGTAATAGGTTCAAAATTTGCAAAGGTAGCTTTCATAATAAAAGCTGAGCAGTAATGCACGTAAATCACACGCTTATGTAAGTTATCTTAACTGATTCAAAAACTAGGTATGTGAGTGGTAATTTTGACTAGGTGAGTAACTCAATCACCCATAAAAAGTTCATGGGCACTCGTTTCTCTCACCTACCATGTGACCTAGCGCGGCACGTGATCTATCTCACCATGAATCACAATTTGTTATGACTACAAATTCTTACATACCCACTTAATTGGGTCGTTCAATTATAGTGTTTGCCAATGAGAAGTTCCGACCAGATCAATGATTTTCTCTCTAGCCAATATCACAATTAGCCGGAAATCCTAAATTTTATTAGTTCTAGTAGATTCTTGTGTCCCAAGTGCCCAGTCAGAACACCAAGAAAGCAAATGGATTCACCTATGGTTGCATTGCCATCATGACTCAACAGCTTGGAGAATTACATACATCAATTACACAGGCCTAAAACAGCTCAAGCAGGAAACTACAATATGTACATAACTGGGTCATACGTGATATGTGCATAATCGATTTCATTCAAATCGTTAATAGATTTAATTTAGACCACCATTGAAAATCTGGAACTATTGGACGGCTGTTTCATCCCAGTATGGGACTTCTTAGCAGTTTGCAACCACAATCTCTCAACAAAGAACCAAACCCAGGATCTTCGGCCTCGTGTGCAAATGTTTAGATCCTAGATCACTGATCTACCATCCAATGGTGCTTATGTTGAACTTCAATTAATACACGACCATCTTTCATTGCCTCCGGTGGGTAACTGCTTGACATCCAAAACTGACTAGCTCTACCGGTCACGACTTCTCACTAGAACTCCGATTATTTCTCTTGGAGATAATCACTCGTGAACACATGATAATTTTTAGTCACGAATATTTACTGCTGAGGAGTCCCAATGGTTGCCCAACGCTCCTAGATTTTCAATGATTGTCTAAGATCAATCCATGATTTCATCAAAATTCAATGAACAACACAACCTCATACTGAAAAGTATGATTAATTAATAATGATTTAAATACGGTAAGATGTATGACAATAATTACCAAGTTAAATGAAGGATCATAATTAGGAAAACGTAAAAAATGCCGTTACACAAACATTTACTAATTAAGAACGAATCAAGAGAAGAAATTTCTTTCTAATTAGTTTTGCATCACAACTACGCTAATATATGATTTACAACAATGCAACAATACTCATCAAGTAGTTACGTAGCGGAATAATTATATAGGGAGTAATATTGGTAACCTGCTTAGTAGAAATGGATGCCCCAAGTAATTCATCAACAAACACATGAAAGAGATGAAAAGAAAACCAAATTCATCTACCGTCTCGAAGAAGGTGCTGTTCAAAAAATCGTAATTCCTAAGTGATGCTACTGAGGAAATTGTGACTCAAAGGTTAAGAAAGGAGGTACAGAAAATATTTAATGCAGCCAGACTCAGTGTCGTTTTCTATAACTGTCCCATAATAAGAAACGTTGATAAAGACAGACCACCTGAATTCGCCACATCCATTTGTATCTACTAATTTAATTGCTTCGGTGGAGCCAATTATATAGGACGTACAATTAGGCAAGTTTGTCATCGCATACCAGAACACCAACCGTCTTGGTTGAATAAAGGACAGGTAAGAGTGATTAAGAGTTCTATTCTCGCTCACTTGGTGAACACAGGTTATCAAGTTGATCTGAATAAAACACTTAAGGTTATCCACCATATTCCATCAAATTTACTGCAAAGCTTTACGAGTTTGTCTTTTGCACATTGCTGAAGCTATCAGAATCTATGTTCACAAACCAAACATTTGTATCCAAAAGAAGTTTGTACAATTAATCTCTCTGCCTTGACCATCAGTATAGGAGTGAGCATGTAGCTGAACTTTGATGAAACCCTTTCCTCCAAAAATATTTAAATTATTTTACTCCACTTTTGTATCATAACACTATTTTACCTACAGAAATGACCAGGTTTTCATTGGTCGTTAAACAAAAATGTTGCTGGAACTCATGTTCACTAACTTCTATACATTATCAATCTTCTGTGATTGGAAGTAATCGGTAGAAAACCTTGGATTCAGATTTCGGGTTAGTAGGTACTAGTCTGCAAGGTATATCTTGCGACAGAGTTATCCCCCGGTGATAAGATAATCAAATATTACTTATGTGAAAAGAATCGCGTAGCTACTTGCATTTCAGTAGTTAAGAAGCTACTGTTATAAACCTAACCGAAGGTGTATTGACTTGTACTAAATCTTATTTCAAGAAACTTACTTCGGTCTCCATTACTGAGTAGAAGTGCTCAGAAAAACTAATTGATGCCCAACTGTCGAATAATGAACATCTGGTTCATAGCTAGACTGAGAATATTCATCATATCAAAGTTAACTGGTGTCAGGTTTATCGTTGGAACTGATTTATACTACTTACATAAAAGTGAAAGAATCATGTTTACCAGGCGTCAAATTAAATTCAACTGAATTTACAAAACACATTTCAATATAATGATCTCTTACCACAGATACTTTTACAATATCAATAGCTTATTATGTAATTGTAGACATAAACATGGTCAACAATGTAATAAACCTACAACAACTTAAGCATACTGTCTTTCCGATCGATGTAGGTCTATGTCATAGGGTAGTGGAAACGAAAGACACTCTCTACCCCCTACACTGAGAAATTTAATTGACTTATGGATTGAAAATTAAAGTATAATTCACGCACACTACGAAAATGTCAAATAACACGCACAAACGCACAGACAAATGCAAACAAGAATCGTCTTTATATGGAGACTCAATCAGAGTGAATTTAATTCAATTAATGGTTTTGACCTTATTCATGCATTAGTAAACATCACAACAAATTAGCAACGTTGCATCATCCTATTCGCTTATAATACAAAGTGAATTATTTATAATAATTTGTGACCAATGAGTCAATCAGAAGAAATAAAGCTATGACCTAGTGGTTAAGGGGGTTAAAACATTGAACTGCCCCAAATGTTTCAGATATGAACTGTTCTATATGTACTTCGATTTGAGCAATTAAGTAGCAGTATGATTAGATCTCTTACACTTAGAATGTGGCTGATATTCAGTCAGAAGACCAAATAATTATCTAAGGTAATAAACACTTTATTTAAGCAGACAAACAAAAATACAAAAAATACGAAAATCTGCACTGTAAAAGTTTTTGTTCTTTTTGTTGTTGTAGTTTTTTTCGAATAGAAAACAATTGCATACAAAAAAAGATAATTAAAAGTTGTTGTTTTTCTAACGTTTACGTATAGTATTTCCCGCCCAATCAATTTTATTTGTATTTTTTAAGAAATTTAATCCATCTTCAAAATTTTCACGTGTAATCATACGTTCAGAACGTGCACGTAAATCTTCTAGTACACGTGAATAAACAAAAGTTAATACACGAGGACGTTCTTCAAGAAGTGACCATATTGCCATTGCCATTTCTTCACGTCGTTTACGTACACTACTACTGATACCTATTTAAAAAAGAAGAGTTAAAAATGAAAAACAATCGAGGGGAAGGATGAATTTTGAAAAATATTGTATAATAGTGATCTGTAAGGGTAATATTGTATTATATTTCACTAAAAGTAATGCTTATAATGTAGTCTAAGAAAATATTTTAAAATTCCTACCTCATGAACTGACGTCAGTTACATAACCTTAGAAAATCAGGAAGCATTGTACAGATATTTCTTTTTAGTGCAAAACTTCGCCGAAGTGAGCAACCAAGAAGCCAGGACCTTTACATATCGCGACATGCAATTAGCCTTTAGACTAATGAGTCAGTATTCAACAGTTTACACGTCTAACTTCAGCCGATTCGTTGTATTGTACAAACAACTTACAATGCTATTGGTGGGTTAGTGCATTACAATCAATATAGTTGGACTTCACCAGTTAGTTATGGCTTCGCAATAGAACTGGAATTATTCATGATTAACTACAATAATATCAGCATATTGGGGTTTCCGGAAATTACTGAATTTTGATTTACATTAAGGATTAACCTTAGTTATACAACCTCAAGGAGTTCACTCTGTTCCTGGTAGGATCGTGGATATGCAATGATGGGGACGATACTACAATGGAAAAGTTATTTAATGCTACCAGGTTTCAAATGATTCTTTAACTAAGATCATATCTATACTTTCGGATGAAATGGTAGACTAGCCTTAATATATTTGATTACAACTATAATTTATTAACTACTATAAAACAAACACAAGATAGGTTTATAGGACAGATTAAAATATGAAAATTTAAATGGATATTAATTTTGCAATTAAATCTAGACTACTGTTTTAAGTAGTTAAATGTTGTATACCTGTTGTTAAAATATTGATATCGATAGTACCAGTAAGCGGATCAATAGCTGCTTGTTTTAACGCTTCACGTTGTAAACGTCGAGCTTCACGACAATCATCAGCCGTAACATGATTTGATAATCGTAAACGAGCATGAGCTTCAGCTAAACGTACAAGTGATTCAAGTTGACGAGGATATGCGGATATCTTATAAGGTTGGTATTAATAATAATAAATATGAAAATTATAAGAGTTAATTACAAGAATAGATGAGAATAAGAAAACAAAACAAATTCATTTCAATTTTGTAATACATTCTGAGAATGAAATAGAATAGAAATGTAATAATACAACATAAGGAAGTCTTATGTATACCTTATAAGTTAAACTAGATAGACTAATGGTGAGAATAGCAAAGTTTATTACATAGTGATATTAAAACTTGTGTTCGTCTTATTAGGTATGAAGTACGTTATATGAAATTATAATTTTTGTATTAGACTGGAAGTCAAGTTAGGAACAATAACGGGGTAGATTGTATGCATATAGCACACAACTATCTTTGAACTTTGCACACTGTTGGAGAGATACCAAGTATTCCTCGAAAAAGTCCAGAACGGCCCCGGAAATCCCGGGAAACATTTTATCTAATCATCGTTGAACAGAAGTTTCTCGGACACATACAGAAAGTGAAGGTTCGCGAGTCACATTTCTAATTGGATGGTGATCTGTCCTGCTACTATGTTTAGTATGGTTTCAGAAGCCTAAGGCCATCTGAAATACCATAAGTACTCTCGGTTTTCTGTACATAGCCTAACCTTGGAGTAAAGACCTTCTTCACATTACGCGCCGTTTTTCTCGTGTAAATTTAGCCTTGGGTTATTAAAGAGCTTAGGAAACCGATTCAAGTGTTCAATAAGAAGACTTGTCACACATAAAAATAACGTCATGCACTGTCCCATCCCCCTTAGTAGATCAGGCGATCCAAGTCACAAAAACACCTGGTGGGCGGCTATGCTTCTACATGAGGGCTGAAAGGTGTAAGTGTGAGTAGAATTCATCAAACTGTTTCAATATTTTTGGATAAATATTGTAAATTTGAATAACTTACAGCCTTTAAAACGCTGGTAATCTGTTTCTAAAACAACTCTAAACATTTAAACGATAAACTGATTATAGCTAAAAATGGAATGCGGGATGTACATTTCATTTTATTTTGGCATTCGTCAGCTGAATATGCCTGCATCCCAGTATCACTGCACTCCCGAAAACGAACTTAATGCCATCTGATTTAAACACTAACTCATTATCTATTGAGTTACTGGGTTCATAATCCAACTAACCTATTTAAAGGATATGGTATTTATTTGTAGGGGTTCGAGTCAGTATATTAGCATCAACAGTAGGATGTAGGCACATCCAAATGACGAGATCCAAGTAAGATGAAACGTGCGTCTTAGATTTAACTGCTAGCCACAATCTACTTATTCTATAAAAACTGTGATAAAATGGTTATATAGAAGCTATCAGAACAGCATACACATATGCCACCAACAAACACTGGTTGAAATTGAGTTCTGAGTATTAAATTCTATAGACCTATTTTTAAAACATGAATAGAATGAGCTTGGATTTTTTTAAAGGTATGTAAGTGAATGTCATTTGACAGTTGTCTGAATAGTAGAAGGATATTTCTTCTAGAGCTATCTGGAAAGAAAACTGGGTAAAGGGTGATCTTGATAAACTAAGAACATGAATCCAGAGGCTTTAGGCTGGTAATCCACTGGCCTTTGTGAGAAGTTGTAAATGTATTAGCTTCCTACTTTTCAGATCCTACCTCAGGTGACGGAAATTTGTGGGGTAAGGTGAAGTGTTTTAGTCTTATAGTTCAGATTTTAACCCCACTTTCATTTGTGAAAAGATATCATGGATGGACACGTTTATTGTCCGCACGAAACATCATACTGCTATTAAACCCAAGTACCGTTGGCAGTACAAGTACAGCGGACTGTATATCTGTTACTTTGGTTTCACTGTCATCCCGTTGACCTGTTCGGAATAACAGAACTTCAAGGAACAAGAACTCCAACCAATGTAGGAGGATTAAAAATCCAAACTTTGAAATAGCCTTTGATGAACGGGGCTATACGACCTGAACATGTGATGATTTTTAAGAATAATTCCAAGTTAAAACGAAGCCAAGGAGTAGTATTGATCCTAACATGTTCTCCTAGTTTTTTGCATCTCTCGTAACAACAAAAGCTGTAACTAACTGTTAAAACAAGTGGAAAATCGATATTTTTAGTTTACACTACGAACTAATCATAGTCAGACAACTACTGAAAACCAGTCCAAACATGGGACTTTTCAGCAGTACTAACCTCGAGATCTGGGTCAGATCCCCAGTAAAATGGTGGATTTACATTTCTAAGGAGCCCCACACTAAGACAAAACAGCTTTCGAATGCGTCCTGTTTTCTAGTGGTTGTTTAAGTAAGATCAGTCCATGATGTGAACTATGAAATTCAGCAACCGTCAAAACGGCCGATAATAAGAATCAATATTTAGAGGACCTGTGATAAAAAATTATTTTGTATTGTAGTCTTTAAAAGTATATAAGTTAACTGATACAACACTGATGACATGAAAAAGTGGTGATGCAATAAATTAATCATTAAGTTACCTGTCCACGACCTGAACCCAGTTTTCGCATTTCTACATACTCACGAACTAAATATTCACCGGCTTCTTCCGTTAGTTTGGGAAAGTACTTCATCTTAAACATAAATTAAGGTGGAAATATCATTTTATTGGTTATTATTGTTACTAGAGATTACTAAGAAAATCTGCCTTCATTTGTTATTGAACATTTTACGGTTCTGATGAAGGACTTAATGTGAATGCTTATTAATTCTAGAAGAATGCCTAGGGAAAAAATAGATTGACACGCTGGGCTAATCGTACATACAGCAAGTGATCATGAGATGCTGACAGGCGCAAACCCTACTGGTTAAGATTTGGCTTCGTTATCTGAAGGACATACATCTACGTTTAAGAATGTGTTGTGGATATATATTCTCGATTCGGTTAACTAACAGAATCTTTCTACTTACCCCTGGTTTTTTCACTCAAGCAGTTCATTAAACTCACGTATAAGAAGCACATATATTAACAGCAGAATTAAACGGCCACAAAACATAATATGGATAAAACAGTTTGCCATAAAATATGATGCGATCAAGTGCTCAAGTAAAGGAATTTCAACATATTCATGCGATTTATTAATATACCTTTCACTGATTGAAAAGAATTCCCGATTAGCAAAGTCAAATGCATCGTCCAAATAAAAAAGACATATGATTACAATCGATTATCAGTTAGTAGGAGTATATATTTGCAAACCTATTGAAGAGGGAATACTCTATTTGTATTACGCGAGACAATAATTTAAGTAAAATATATTTTGAAATCACCAACCCCCAAATACCCTGGCACAACCGAGGGTTGGGAAAGTCAACTCTACCTCTCAAAATGCTCTCAAATGGCCACGCATATACACACATTGATAAGGAAGTCCTACTCACCGCTTTCTCGTAGCGGGGGTGTTGTCCACGAAACTGAGAGGACGAAAAGCGAATGTTTGGTGCTTTAACCGGTTTGGTGGATATGGAGGGCCAACCTAGGGGAGTTGGAAAACTCTGATTTCAAACCAATGGTGCATAGTAGTAATTTTAGATAAACACAGTATTGTATTAGTTATTATTCAGTGACTGATGCTCTTAAAGTATGAAATGAGTACAAACGATTTCAATTGATAAAAAAAACCTTGTAAGGTATTCAATAAACATATCTTTTAGAAACATAGGATATACTTAATTGTTAAGGTAAGCATAGAATTATTAAAACAGATTTTCTATTTGAACTCATTATTATTCATACTACAAGGCCTCTCTGTTTAAATGTTTCGGGTAAATTTCACTGAAAGTTGACTGTGTCTACCTTAAGGATTAACATTTGTAAGTGGTACAACAATGAATACCTTAGCATAGGCTATATAATCCTTCAAGAGTTTCCCGTTTACAAATGATGGATCATCATCAGTTTGACTATCCATGTCCAGTAGAACAGCTCCTGGACGCGGTCTACGTGTACCTCGAGTATTATTATTACTGTTGGTTGGAATATCCTGACTGCTATCAATCTGACTTGGAGTAGTACCACGATAATACAACCCAACCAAATGTCTGGCTAATCTTGTATCATAAACTTCATCTTGTGGATCCAATATAAGAAAAATGAGATCGAATCTTGATAGAAGAGTATGAGGTAACTAAAAATAATAAAAAAACACAAAGAAATGATGCAACAACTAGGTCAACAAGTTACTAAGAAACAACATGCTAATGAACAAAATAAATTATCATTTTAAAGCCTCTCCCCAATTGCCACGGTACGGTTGAAGAGAGCCCATTCTCCCTATTAAAATGCTCTCATATACCTAGATGTTCGTAGCAAGTATCAGAGATGTCTTACTCACTTTATTCACGTGGTGAGATTGTGCTTTTTATGAAAGTGAGAGGAAGAGAAGTAAAGGCCCTGTGTTTAAACTTGAATGATGGATACGAAGGATCCACCTAGGGAGGTTGGAAAACCCTGATTTTAAACAAGTAACATACATGGGCTTTAGGATCCCTGATAGAAGATACGTTTCAGAGTTAGAGTAATTTTGTACCGAAATTTTTTGCGTCTTATGACCAGATGATATTTAAGAATAATATTTCTCATGTTTGGGTTTCAGTAATTTAAAATTCAAATCTGAACTGACAGATATGAATCTAGAGTCAGACAGCTGACTCCTGATTACAAAGGATAAGTGGAAAACGGGGTATAGTCGGACTCGATTCATTGATGAAGTGATACCTATTAACGCTGAATATCGTGTAAGTAGTTTATTAGATTCGTTAGTAAGTTACGAATTTCGGTATGTTAATGAAAAATACTTTATATATGTGCTCCCAATCCTAACGTAGTAGTATTTGGCTTTTATCCAGCTGTTTGATACAAAAAGAAAACGGTTTTCCATCTCTGATACTGGTTAAGATGATTTAAAATAAAGCACTTCAACAACAAGACTCTTTTAAGTTCAGTATAGATTAATACAGAGGAATATGTGAAAAATTCCTGAAGTTATGTATTATTTTATAGTGACAGAAAAAATAACAAATTAAGTTATTTGTTAATAGACGAGAGTTAAATCATTATGAAAATTATAAATGATTAAGGTATTTCCCATATCAAGGTAATTCTCAGTCAAATAATCAAAATAAAAGAATTCATATGATATACATTGTCGAAACTTTTGTAAATTAATATTATTAATGTAATCAGTTTGTAGAAATTATTGAATTTGATAGTTGATAACACAGACTGAACTTAGATAATCATAGTAAATCGGGAAAAACCGAGTAAAACTGTTTTGTCTTAGCATGAGACTCATCAGCGCGTTGCATCCATAATCCCATAATGGATCGGTTACTGGACCCTTGCGTCTTAACACCAAGACAACTGAGATTATATTGAATGACCTATATCTGTTGTGTCATTGGTGCGTAACTGACTCACATTCAAAACGGATGAGCTTTACTAGTGGAGAACTGATTGGTCATAGACGTTAACTCAAAGATCTAAATATTAAGCACTCGCCATGAGACCTGAAGATCCTGGGTCTGATTCTAGGCGATGTTGTGCATGCGCTTTGTCGAAGAAGTTCATATCAGGATGAAGAGTTTATCTAGTCTTCTTTAATTCTCAACAGCTATTCAACTAAGGTCAGTTCGCGATGCTACTACTTAAGAAAGTTAAGTATAGTTACGAGAAGAATTCGATAAAAAATGGAGCAGTTACCTGTATATTGTCAATAATCGTTTTGCTAGGATCCCATTTAGAACCGATTGGATTAGCAGCTGCTAAAATTGAAGTCCTAGCATGAAGTTGACAAAGAATACCAGCTTTAGCAATACTTAGAGTTTGTTGTTCCATTACTTCGTGTAGTACAGAACGAGTTGAGTCGGACATTTTGTCGAATTCGTCGATACAACATATCCCATTATCAGCCAACACTATAATTACGTTATGATGAAATAAATAAATAATGTTGAAAATTTTCAAAACAAGGATAACACATATCTGATCGTAGGAATCAAAAGAGCAACATTATATATTAACGGAATTGTGAGAGCAAGTAGTAGTGTACGTGCAGTTCTGTGGTAGGATTTCATCTTAAATTTACATTCGTGTAATAAATATATTAATTCATGAGAAGTGAACTTTACTTTAGAGCTACAAACGCTTAGTGTAATTGTATTCACTCGGAAATGAGACTGGAAATAATGTAATTAGAAGAAAACAATGAAATTATAGGTTAATAAAAGATGGTTTAATGAGAAAAAATAACCGCTGTTAATTTCATTTAGTTACAAAGTATCATCTTACTTTCATGAATATAACAGACAACTCCACTTATTTCTATTCTGAACCATGTCTGATTTGATCTTTAGGAACTCACTGGGCAATGATAGACCGACAGACACTAGTCTTATGCGGTTATCCCTCACTTTACAACGCCATATTATAAATTGGGACATCTCTACCTTTCCATCTAGCTGAGGTGTTGAAAATTGATGGGCGGTATGGAAGCGGTTGAAATAACACTTGCGTAACATAACCAAATCAATTAAGTGGGCGGTTCAAAATAGTGATATCAATTAACTCCTCATTATTATACCTGAATACACATTGCAAGACCCTGGTGTCATTACATCATATAGGGAATACTTCAGAAGCAACGATGATAGAGCTCGTAAAGTACGACTATTTGCACCGAAACTTTGAATACCTGACCTTTGCTTTTCAACGATATCTAACAGCTTTCCCCAAAGGATGATTGCAAATACAGGCACATTTTAGTCTTGTAGAACTATATTTCATCTTGAAAGTAGAGAGTACACATCATACTTAGAGATACTGATTGTTAACTGACTCAACAGAACCCAAGTAGCTTGCATATCATTGAGAGTCACTATTCGTAAAATCCAAGTCGGGTTTTTTCCAAATAGCTGACACTAATGACCATATTACACGTTGAAATCACATGAACTGAATTTGCTGATAAACGGAAATTAGCTGAGGTAAGTATAATATTGTAAACAGTAAAGCTTCTGGTAACTTATTAAAAGACAAAGAAACACAACCCGAGGAGAATGGGAAGTTTTAAACTAAATGTGCTTTAAAGGTTCAGTTTAAATGTATAAATGAATCAAACTTGGAGATGACTAAGCAATTGGGTGTCAGAACTGTTTGATAAACGTAAGTTGTTTTTTAAAAGAGAAAACTGATAATAGGAGAAATGCAATGTAGTGATTCCATGCATATTCGTGTAGTTGGTAGTAAACTGTACATGTTTTATGGCAGTTAGCTGCAACAAATGAATCCTTTAGTCAGGGTAAGTGAAGTTTGCTTCATGAAATAGAGTCTAGATGATTGAACAACAGTTTAGAAGCTTTAAATAATTAAAAGACTAGGAAATTAACGAGTTAACTAGTTCCTGTCAAATTATGGCATGCTGAATTAAGATGTCACGTTTGGATGTTAACGATTAATTAGTGTTGTGGTCAAGGAATGCTAATTATGTGTAAGAAAAATAAACATAATGTTAGCAGGATATAGGTTGGATTTAAGCATGTTCCATAGAAGATTATGTTGGAGAAGGCTTTAAAATCTTTTTTGTGTAAAACTCTGTTTTTCACCGGGATTAATTCCCATCCAACCTGGTTTATGTGGGATATAACTACGTACCTGTCCAAGCTATGTTCTGATTTGGAGGACTAGTCGAGTGAAGTAAAATATCCGAAGAATACTAAGTAATAAGTGTATCTGAGTCGGATAACAAAGGATTTAACACATGAAAATAACGATATATGATTACATGTAATTTTAACGAGCCAACTACACATTTGCAGGTATTGGTGAAATGATACCAAGTCTGAACATAAAGTATCAGGTCTAAGATCCGTTATCTGAATGGACAAAGTCAGTTAACTTCACACACATGGGTTAGAGAATGCTTTAACACTTATCGGCTACACTAAGAATAAGAAAAAATCGAGATCATTTAGAAATAAATTGTAAAATAAACAAAGTTTCTGGAAGTAAGAGAGCGATTAACTTGATGAGGCAATTAGTTTAGAAACTTTGACTGATGCGCATTTTCTGCTACTTTCTACTCGTTGTCTACAATGGACTGATTGGCTATGATTTAGAAATATTTGAACATATTTATTCGCTTGTTATCTTTGAAGTTGGTTTTATTTCTTGATTGGTTCTATGGCGGATGAAACCAGTGAACACAGCTTTTAAAAGTGCATTTAGTTGAAGTTAAAATGATATGTCAACATATTAATTGGTTGGAGGAAGCTGGGAAGAAACCCTGAACCTAGCTTTCGTGCTAGTTGGTACCCGTCAATTAAACGTACCTGGAGTTTTGAAGACTGACGCTCGCTGTGGAATCAGTGTACATAATGTTGATTGCGTGGAGTAGTGTTCATATTGGAATTTAATCGACAGAATATGATGAACACCAAAACAGACCATACAAATATGACACAAACCACTATTCAGTGATCGATCAATTGTACATATCAGTATACTTGTTCTCCACACAACTGCATACTAAATTTCGTTTAGCTAGGTTTATAAGAATTAATGACATGTAGCGTGTTACATAATGAAATGAAAGAAAAAGAATTGTATGTATGAGTTTTGAACAATGATGAATAACAAACACTGTTCACTAACCAACTGACCTAATGCTCCAGTTTGCAGTGTTAATTGACGCGTTTCTGCATCTTTTGTAATGTAGGCCGTTAAACCAACAGCAGAACTTCCCTTGCCAGAAGTATATTGGCCACGAGGAGTAAGACGGTATACATACTGCAGAAGTTGAGATTTTGAAGTACCTGGGTCACCACATAAAAGTATATTGATTTCAGAACGAAAATCACCACGTCCTTTAGCACTGAAGTCTTTACGTGTACCACCAAATAACTATAATAGAGGCAACAGAATAATATAACATGAATTAGACACTAATAAAATAATTGAAAAGTATCGGGTTGGGCGTTGACAACTAAATTTACTTTTGCTAGATTGATTGGATGTTTACTCAATCAGTTTCTAGAAATTTAAAAAGATGGTGTAACTCAACATGTAAAAGTTATTATGTACTCATCTCTGAGAAATACACCTAAAGTGTGAGCAGGCTATTAATACCTACTACTTGTTTGCCTACAAGTGCCAAGGATTGGGAAAGTCACCTCTACCTCTCAAAATGCTCTCAAATGGCCACGCGTATACACACATTGATAAGGAAGTCCTACTCAGTGCCTTCTCGCACCACAGGCGTTGTTTACGAAATTGAGAGGACGAAAAGAGAATGTCCGATGCTCTAACCGGGTTGGTGGATATAGAGGGTCCACCTAGGGGAGTTGGAAAACTCTGATTCCAAACTAATAGTGCACATGGGCCCCAGTATCCTGAAGGAACAAATGGTGTACGAACCAATCGCTGGTCACCGGCTACCATGTGACTGCATCTCCTAACGTTGCTCTACTACCTTGTGGATTAGACCTCCAGGTTGAAGGTTTGGGCACCCGGGCAGTATCACAGCCCTCACACAAATCAAGTGACTTGTGTGGTGCATATGTATTCGATGCCCCTTTGTACCCATATTTATGTTTAAATAATTAATAAATAAGCCAATCCTAAAAGACTAGAACGTGTACTTGATGAACTGAGAAAGAAGTTCAATCCAATCTTAGTGAAACAGTATGTATTTAGTGAGCATAAAAACATTATTACGAATTACAAAGAGCGACACCATATTGGTAAAGTGATGAGGTTACGGTTGAACTTGTCTAACATATACTATTACTTTCATTTTAGATATATAATTTATTAAAATGCAGTCAGTGTGAAAAAAAGCATTCTATACAATTCTAATATATCGTTTGTTGTAATTGTATCTACGTAAGTTGTACATTTCTGAGTGCGGTTAGGTACATAAAGCGTTGGACATTTTGACAATAACTCCCAGGTTTGAACTCCACTCTACCTATTTCAGTTCGGGCAGCTAACCAGGTAGGTAGGTATCACTAGCTTGCAGTCAAGTACACGAATCTAAAAAAATGAAACCTACTTGTAGGAGAATACCCTTTTTAATATCTTCGTTTTCATAAATTGTTGGTGCGATACCAGCAGCAAGTCGTTCATATAAATCAGGTTTACGAGCCAATGTATGAAATTCTTCAATACGTTCCTCCGTGAATTGGCGTAAAATATGTGCTTCCTCAATAGAAGTATTTTCGTCAGTAGCGAGCCCATCATTTTGAACTCGATCATCGCCTTCTCGGCTAACAGAAAAATTATACGTATACTATATTTAGACAGGAACAATTGTCCCACTTAAAAATAGTGAACATAAATGACCATAATAATAATAAATATAATAATAATAAAACAGGTATGAAATTATTTTGATATTTGTAGGGAGGAATAATTGCTGAAATGGATCTGATAGACAAAATTAGTTGATTTATCGGTAAACATCTTTGGCATAAGTGTATTTTCATAATCACCGGTAAGATAGGAGCAATATGTATAGACAGTGTATATTGTTTATGGTCCAGTGATACATCATATCACACTGGGAAAGATATACTTCAACAAATCCCCTTTACAAAAAAGTAAATACCCGTTATACGTCGTCAGCCTAGTACTTGATACAAATATGCACTGGATTGAGTTGTCATACTACATTAGCGTAGTGAGATGTTGACTGGTGGGTGGTATTAGTCCATGAAGTCATTGACTGTTGGTCTGAGCCAAGTTAGTAGATGCAGACTATCTAAATGGATAATAACAATCTATGATTGGAGACGTTGCGTAACATGGCTTATAATTGGCCGCAATGGAGCAGATGGATTTCCTTCCTCCAAATATAGAGTCTGAGTGTTCATACATGCATTTCCATGTTTTTTTCGAACAACATTCTTTCTGACTTTAAAGAAGGAGAATGTAGTTGTTCTTTCTGGTTATCATTGCTACTACAGTATTTCGATTCCTTAGCTACTCATCTTGTTAATTTTTCTTTCATTGTGCTATTGTGTTATGGAAACTCAGAACAACACATATTTGTCTCAGACTCTATGTTGATTATGACTAACTGATAAAGTGAGATGAAACTTACAAGAAACAATAGTTGCATCAATAACAATTAGAAAGATTAAGCATAGAGAATATGGTTCGAAAATACAATAATGAAGTTGAGATTTACGGGAAAATGAAAAAAAAACATCCAACTAGCCTACTGGGAGCGAATTTAAGCCATATCACAGCTAATTTTAACATTACAAACTCGGTTTTTTACTATAATACGAGTAATGCTTCGAAAATATCTATGACCAAATACTAGTCACCTATACAGGTTCTTAAATTTCACAGACCATGCTTCACAGATATATAGTAAAACAGGACTGTGGAGTACATTCACGATGAACTGTATTAGCACACTATTAAATCGCAGAAAATGATTTGAAAACTAGTGTTAAATTTATGATTGTATTTAACGAATGAGATAATCAGATGTCTGTAAAATATTTTGGAGAACTAAGCGAGATTATCCATGATTTGCTTGACTATGATAAATAGTGAGCGATTGAGTTACTTGATTCAATTAGCGAAATGCCCAAACGGCAAACCAGAAACTTATGTTTAGAACATTAAAGTATTCTTTTGATCTTTATAAACAAAATAAGCTTTAAAAAATCTTTTAGAAAATAATAAGAACTTTCTCACTATAGGTACCTATAAATTAAATTAGTTTGCCAGGGGAATTATTCAAAGTGAACCTGTTGTGGAGCAAGTGGATTTTAAAAATCACCTAACTGGTGTACAATTAAGATAATCAAATGATTTTAACTAAAAAACAATAAAAACACTAAAACTTACAGAAAATGAAGAACATCTATATATGTTTTGTAAACCGCTTTAAGAGTACGTTGTCGGTTAGACATTCGTAGTGGTATTGCACGATAAATACCCGTAACGATAACACGATCACCCGGTTGAATTTTATCAACAAGTTCTTCGTGAGCATACATAAGTACTGTATGAGGAGTCTGGCTAGCAGGCATATTTTCTGGAGATTCCTAGATAAGAATTTACGAAAGTAGGAATTAGACTATAATGGTAAAGAAACACCTGTCACAAGGGTAATTACATAAAAATATACCGCAATTGGCAAACTTGACCCCATAAATATCACGTCCGGCCCTCAAGTCAAATTACATTAAAACAACTGTAAATCTAATCGGAATTATATATATATATATATATATATATATATATATATATATATATATATATATATATATATAATGAAGTCTGATTCAGAGGCATAACAAAAATACTAGTACAAACCTGTAATTTAATCATTTGTTTATCCACAAATAAACATCGATTATGTTGTAGTTGAGCTGTATGAGCCGAATGACAACGTATGCACGCTTCTGGTTCTGCAATACGACCACGTTCACATGGAACAGATGTCATTGCACCACAGATGGCACATTTGAACTCTGCACGCATCATTTCAGGGATGAGCGGGGATAAACGTATTACAAGACCAGAGACAGTTACAAGTTGATCAAGATCATCTGGATCAAGACTGCGTAGATCTCGAGACCTTGCACAATTGAATGGACGAATCTGAAGAAAAAACAGTAAGAATGAGACAACTAACCAGAATCAAAGGTTGATTTCTTAAACGATGTTACAATATTTCTATCTTGTACAACAAGAAACGGTGAATACGACTTTTAAAAAATGAAGATAATATCGTATTAATACTTTGAATAATATTAGCTTAAATTTTTTAACATCTAATTGTAACCGATCTACGTATAAGATACATAGATTGTTTCACATCAAAATTACGCTTTAAAAGGACTACAAACTTTCAATCTTATGGTTGTTAAGGCTTACGTTGTCTTCATATAAGATAAATTACTGTCAGTATTCGTAAGCGAAAATACAGGAGTGAAATACGACAAAAAACTAAACTTACAGACTTTATGGTGATTCAAAGAAATACATCAGAATGTAGTCTCGATTCACACCAAGAAAATTCAATAGTTTTTGTGGATCCATTCTAGAGACAAATCCTTCTTCAGAGTCAGTCAGGCATAAAAAAATAGAAAAACAACCCCTTCAAATGTTTTAATACCCTAAATATCTTAAACACTCTCCCCCAAGTATTTAGTTTTTCATCCGTAATGTTTTAAGCAACTCGCTTTGAAATGATTTTCCAGTTCCCCACCCCCTGCCCCCAAATGCCCTGGTACGGCCGAGAGTGGGGGGAGTCCGCTCTCCCTCCCGAAATGCTCTCACACAACCACGCGTATATAGCCTCTGCCAGCGAAGTCCTACTCACTGCCTTCTCGTGGAGGGGGTGTTGTTTACGAAAATGAGAGGACGAAAAGCGAATGTCTGGCGCTTTAACCGGATTCCAAACCAATGGTGCATATGGGCTCCAGTATCCTGAGGGAACAAATGGCGTATGAACCAATTATTGGTCACCGGCTTCCATGGGACTGCATCTCCTTACGATGCTCCACTGCCTTGTGGATCAGACCTTCAGGTCGAAGGCTCGGGGAGTGGCTGTCTAAGGAAACCACCTGCCTTGGTTTGGGCACCCTTGCAGTATCACAGCCCTCACACATATCGAACGAGATTTGTGTGGCGCATATGTATTTGGTACCTCCTTGTACCAATATCTTTCTGTTAAAATAATAATCCCCACCCCCTACGATTATGAAACCTAACCTGCTTAGACTCAAGATGTTCGGTAACTCTCTATGTTCAAATATCCCTGCTTCTAAAGAATTGCTTACATATGGTGGTGACAATCTAAGCAATGTCAAGGTCCGGTTATGTGTGCTCAGCTATAATGGTGATAATATTATTAGTGTCATTATTTCGAAATCTGAAACTGCTTGAAGTAAAATCTACAAATCTGCAACAAAACTGACAAATGAAACGACATATAAGATATTTGAAGCACACTCGTCATTCTAGTAGTCCCTTTCTAGTTATGGAAAAGTTTTTTTATTTATCTGAACTCTTCAATGTAGTTTTCACCCAGTATCTTTTCGTTTTTATTTGTTTATTTATCTAGTAACAAGGGGAACTACTATGTGGTATAATAAAATAATAACCCATTCAATACATTTTTCTTTCGAATTCAGTTCAATATCACTGTTGAATTTCCATAAGTGAGGATTAAACCATATTAAAATTTCTAATAGTTAAAAGCAATATTTACATAAACACAGAGCTATCTTGATATATATCCGAAATACCTGTATTGATCTTTCCAACTGGACTTCACGGAAACGGTCTAAAAATAAGGCGTGTGTAGCAGCATCACATGCTGGAATAACTTCCTTCGGAAATGTTACCAATTGCGTATACAAATCTGGCCTGGCAGAACGAAGATGTTCACAGTCAATGTCTAAGGCAGTCGAACCTGATATTGCAAGATCTTCCATTCGTTGGATATAAAGAGGTCTTTGTGGATTTATGGGTTGACCCGTTGTTAGATTCGGTTGACCGGTTAAGTCTGGAGGGATGTAGGTCAATAGGAAGTGTTTAAATCTTGACATCACTTGAGCAATGTTTACATCGGTACCCCATATTACAGTCTAAAACAGGTTAGTAATTTGGCAAAAAGTGTAAATATGTAGAATAAGGATAAATTATTGTTAACGCCTACCTTCAGATTATTAGAGGGGATGAATTGGTAACCGCATTATCCCCAAGACCTAATTGATATCGGATGTAACAAAATGTCCAACATAGAAACCTGTATAGTGCGCTCAGTAGAGTTAACAAGCTTAATTTTTGGTATGTTCATTGAAAAAGCAAAGGTTTAGGAATATATTGTGCGTACAACTACTAAAAACAACTATGTCTATAGATGAGCCTACCTTTTTTGTTTTATTTTTGTCGAAATAAACGTGAACATCTTCATTTCTAAACGTCTCGATTCTGTTTTTTTTTCGCCAGTGATTTAACAACCGTCGTAGTGTAATGTTTATTACTACCAACCTTGGTGTATCCTGTTCGTTAAATAATTTGCTTGTAGTATACAAGGCACGAGATGTCCTTCTTGCTTATGATCTACAACTCAGATATAGGTAGGAAAATTTTTAGTTCAAAGTTTGGATGGCTGAGTGGATCATCTTTCAAAACTCAACTCCGATGACGTAGGAAGTCGGTTATAGTACTGGCTTGTACCAACGGAATATTAACCCAGTAACCAGTAACAACATGTATCACCTGTGTGTGAACAATCAAGTCCTATAAGTGCTTTATTTGAATGCTGAAATGTGCTTAGTCTAGAGGGCCGTGGATTGACGTATTTACATATTGCTACCTAATATGAAAAAGCCACAAATTTGATACGAAATTTTATCCCATAATACCAATGCATGCTCAAGTATGATTAATAGGATGGTGATAAAAGTTTACAATAAAAATAACTATACAAAGCAAGAGTTAAGCATAGAAAATATACAAAAGTATTTCTTGCCTGAGGTCCACTAGCAGTCGACCCATCAGTAGTACCAGGGACACCTGTTGCGGGAACAAGAGGTCCAGATTGAGACAAAACAGCACGAACAGCCAATTCATCATTGACGCCAGGTCGAACTGAACTCAAAACATCTTCGACCCCAGTCGCCACACTAGACATATCGCTGTATGATAAAGGACTACCCGGCTCCACTTCGGATGTACGAAGACCGGATGTGGGTTCCTGTGAAAAAATGAATCCGGTTACAAGCATTTAAAGGATGAGCAAACTTCAAGACACAAACTTTGGACGGACAAAAATAGTGATGACGATTTATTTTTACTGAAATCCCAGTGACTTAATAACTAATAATTAAGTCAGTCATACGGAAAGTATAAACTGGTACATGTGTATCGGCTTGAATTAACACATCGTATCTGTACAGAGACGAAATTATCGAGATAAATATAAAAGTAGTAGGGGGTAAAAATATCGGTTACAGTAAAAAGCACAAGGATGAATTCACAGAACTGTGCAAAACAACTTTGAAACTCATGACCTAAGGGATGAAAACGAGTGGCTGAATCTGCTTCATTATGACTTATTCCGAGTTATACGATCTAACTTCTTCAACCATTGACCGCCGGTATGGAGCGAACTCAAACCAAGTAATATGTACTTACCAACATGTTTTGGATCAACGGTCAGTGACTTTATGGGTTGGTGCCACATCTAAGCTTGTTCACCTCCAGCTTTTTTCGGACTTACTTCGATACGTTAATACTGAGCAATGAGGTCGGTGGTCGCTGGGGACACGTGATTCATGTCTTAAACACCTGTCACTGCAGATTCATCATCTCATCAACCGACTTATCATATTTACCTAGTACCCTGGATACGTAATCCCATATCAGAGAAAACTACAGAACATCCTAACTACAAATATATTTAGTAAAAAACACTGACAAACAATACTGTTAAAACAAATCCATGATAACACAAGGATACCTTATATACCATCAGCTCAAACATAAAAACCAGAAGGTAAACAGGATCTGATAAAACTAATTAAATGTATGTCTTAAAGAGAAAGAGGTGATGGGACTATAATTGACGTACGGCCTTCAAGCGACGCTAAAGTAACCTTGAGAACGTCCACCTACTTACTTGGGCTAGATGACGGTTATAAACCAGTGTGAGGAATACAGGTTACGACTTAAAGTTGATGGTCAGGGTTAGTAATTAGGTTCTGTGTTTTCATCACGAACTGACATCAGCTAAAATGCTAGAACGCTACTTAGTCAAATGAATCAATGAATTCCGCACCAAAATTCAAGACCTGTTATCCCATGTCTGGTTGGTTCGTCCAGAAATTAAAGTTTCGCCAAATCTCAATATAATAAGACCACAAACAGGTTAACAGGACTAAGTCTACTCTACGAATTGCAGCAGAGGGAAATTAGGCAATCGGAACATGTAAGACTTATACCAATAGAGAACACTAAGCTTTGTGTATACCACAAATACTAAGAGTTATATTATTTGTAATACTAACGTATACCACCGACTAGAGCCCCTCTTTTTAGTACCGCGCTGATATTTTAGGTTAGGGCGATAGTAAGAATTTGAGGTAACGAGGCAGCGTACAGCCAATACAAGTACGACTAATGCTGAATAGGCATATTTACCCAACAAACTGATGAATTTGTTGATAAGTTTCATAATTTTTGCGCTAGTCATGTATACATAAGTTGGCGCGTGAAGAACTGTAAGACAACATACTAATTTGCGGACCGATACCATAGAATTTTAGCTGGAAATAGTAGTGTACCGGGAAAACAAAGCTCTGAAAAACAGCCAGTAAATCAACTCACTGCATTGCTTGTAGGCTCGGTGTGTCCTGACCGATTACGCCGTGTTCTCCCACGTGTACGACTTGATTCCCCAGTTCGTTCAAACGTAGTCCCAGCACTTAACAGGTCACCTGACAACTGTTCATCGTTTGTTGCATTCCTCCGGCGAGAACTTCGTGAGCTGAGACTTGACATTTTCGGACTTTCATATACCCGCTTCTTGAAAACAGGATCGAAAACCGATGTGTTCAATTCCCAATATACAACGCTCAGTTTTCGGCACATGTTATCAAGCATTTAGTTACAGAATAAGTCATTATAAAATTCTTAAAAATTTAGATCTTTACTGTGGTGAAAAGATTTTATGTTGCAGTCCTTTCTTTCATGATATTTTAGTGTTTATGTATTCACCATTAATGATAGTAGGTTGGTAGGAATGCTTTAATCCTTGATATACGTTTCCCAGTAAAGGGCCACTTTTTTCTTGAAAAATGTTTACCAGTTGAGCTGATACTACTTGTTCGACTATGCAGTTTCAGTAACTGAAGATCCTCCGAAGAAAATCGGATCCCACATTGGTTGATGGGAGACTAAAAAGTCACGTTACCTATTTAGTGCCTACTCTCTTCATAAGTTAAAAAAGATCTGTATCTTTGATTAAGTGTGCGTTAACTGCTTCAATATGGTATTCTTGGTGATGTTCGTGCATAAGAAATATGAAACTGGGAACAGAGATAGAGTTTATTGCTAATAACATCAGTAGTGTGCATTATCAGAAATAAACAGTAATGTCAGTTTTTTACAATTAGTACAGAGGAACAATAGATACTGAATGTAAATGTGATTGCATATAGTGTCACAAACAAAGAAGAAATTTGGTTATTATTTTGTCGTTACAGAAATCGTTGAATATACATATCTTCATAGATTTGGGCCTAAAATCAGTATTTTCTATTCTAACCTATCTTACCGAGGCAGTTAAGGGCACTGTTTTCTAAGAAGCTTCAAGGAAAAAAAATACTTAATAAAAAAATGAAACAGTTGCGGTGAACACGCCCGCTTGACCAAGACATGTAGTCTCGATAATGTTCTCACGTCATCCTCAGGACCTTCATTACTTTTTATCGATCGTTCAACGTCCGATGTTCTGCCGTCTGATGTGACAACGGTTTAGCTCAACGGAAAGTTTATGCTAAGAATTTGTGGCGGTAAATAAATCCCCAAAATAAACAGCTCTCTAAGTTTTTGACATTGGATGCTGACCACATTAGTTTTAATGGACTCATCTAGCTGAAGGCGCTCGGTCATGCATCCGCACCAGATCACGAGTAGGAACGCCCTGCTCAACAACCCCTGCAATCGCTAGCTAGATTAGATCAGATAATCCTCGACGTTTTAATAGCCTATCAAATATATCTTCGAACCTCCTCGCTTCTGTCTTTTGATTTCACTTGGTGGGTACGATTCACATTAGGTGTTACTGGTTAAAGCGTTGTCAGACTCCGAATACCCACAGCATCTTCAGGTTCAATGTTATTTCATGGTCATTACAAAGGATTATCTCCTGTTAGTACAACTGAAAACATCGGATGTGTGGTTGTATTCGATTCCTCTTGCTGAACATTTGTTATTTTGTAATGATTGACCAAAATTACTGTGTAGTTTATTTTGAGATTAGACGAGTGAAAATGATTTGAAATCTTTTATTAAATTGTTTATATACTTTAATTATCTCAGAATACTTTTCTAGCTATTACAATCAGTTCTAGGCATGTTATTTGAATAAATACATTGGTTCTTCTTTGTACATTTTTCTGACCGAATTCAACACAGTCAGATAGGATATTTTAGTTTTCGTTCCCTCACTGTGCCCCCAAATGCCCTGGTATCGCAGAGAGTAAAGTGGGCCCGCCCTCCCTCTCTAAATGCTCTCACACAGCCACGCGTATATAGCCTCTGCCAGCGAAGTCCTACTCACTGTCTTCTTGTGGTGGGGGTGTTGTTTACGAAAGTGAGAGGACGAAAAGTGAATATCCGGCGCTTTAACCGGATTCCAAACCAATGGTTCATATGGGCTCCAGTATCCTGAGGGAACAAATGGCGTATGAACCAATTATTGGTCACCGGCTTCCATGGGACTGCATCTCCTTACGATGCTCCACTGCCTTGTGGATCAGACCTTCAGGTCGAAGGCTCGGGGAGTGGCTGTCTAAGGAAACCGCCTGCTTCGGTCTGGGCACCCTTGCAGTATCACTTCCCTCATACAAATATGATGAAATGTCGATATTTATGGAAAATACTTGTCTTGCTTCGATTAACAATCAAACGGTTCACAATATTATTATTATTATTACTGTTATTATTATTTTTTACGTCATCCATTCACTTTCTTTCATTCCCACTTTATGTACCCTTATTTTCCGACTTACAAAGCAGCTCGCCTATGGTAGAAACTCGGTTTTATCTAAACGTCCTCGAGTCACTTCCTGGTTGCAAATTGTGTGCTACCGCCAAATAGGAATACTGAAGCAGTTTTACTGAAACCACGTGCACCATTCAAACTGGCTGCCTTCAACGTTCTCACACTAATTCACGCCGGACAATAGATAGAGCCGGCGATGTCTTTAGGAAGTCTTAATATCGACGTTTGTTGTCCATCCGAGACTCGTATTCAAGACTCTGGTGAAGTACTACAAATTCGCTCTCCATCTGTCGCTTCAGAAAGCTTGTCTTACGTGCGTTTATTCGGGGAACCTATGGCATCTTCGTCTGGTCTTGCTGGCGTTGGTGTCGCACTAAGCGCTAGAGCTGAGACAGCACTAACCGATTGGATCCCCATTAACAGTCGGCTGGTTATGTGCTGTTAGATTAGAAAGTTCCATCAAAGTGAGAAGAAATCGGCGTGAGAAACGATGTCTCTTCGTCATCTCCGCCTATGCCCCGACAGATTGCAGCCCAAATGTAATCAAGAATGAATTCTGCCACCAGTTAACTGTTCTTCTCCAGAAAGTGCGTTCGACAGATATTGTAGTACTAGCGGGAGACTTGAATGCTCAGGTCGGGCGTCTAGGCACAGAAGAGAGTCGTTCAGGTGGCCGATGGGGACTTGTTGGTCGCAGGTCAGATAACAGGAACCGTCTACTGCAACTGTGCACAGACCACAACCTGTTTCTGGCCAGCACTAACTTTCGTCACAGTCATCGCCGATGTGCCACCTGGCGTCCTCCCTCTGCATCTCAAGCCCGGACTCAGATTGATCACATCGCGATCAGCTACCGCTGGCGTGGTTGTGTGCAAGACTGCCGCTCCTTTTGGAGTACCTATCTGGACTCTGACCATGCTTCGGTCTGCGCCAATCTTACCTTACTTTTCAGTGGCCAACGAAGTGACCACCACCAAAGGATTGATGTTAGCAAACTGGTTGCAACTTCTGTTGCAAGTAAGTATCGAACCGAGCTAGCTTCTAGACTAGCTACCACTCCACCGAAAATTATAGATGAGCATTGGTTGCAATTGCATGACGCCATGAAAATGGCGGGAACAGTCAGTTGTGGGTTTGCGAAACGTCCCGCTTTTAAGCACTGGGTTTCCTCAGGCTCCTTACAACTCATTGAAGCCTGTCGGTCTACTCCGGGTGACCGTGAGTTTGACCACAAACGAGGGTTGTTACGTAAGGAAATTGGGCAAAGCTTGCGTAAGGACTGAGAAACCTGGTGGTCGGAGCGTGCTAATGAGCTGGAAGCAGCAGCTGCATCTGGTAATTACCGGAAGCTCTTCCAGCTCATCCGAGCCACTGGCAGCAAGAAGTCTGGTGTGAGTGAAACAATCTGCGAGGATGATGGGATGCCAATCACTAACATCCATCGACGTCTTGGACGATTGGCAGAATTTTTCGAAGGGCAGTTCAACTGGCCTGCTGCTCCGGCAACATCGGTCAGACTGTCCTGCCCTCCATGGCCGGTAACGACTGATCCACCAAACGAGAAGGAAGTCCGCAAGGAACTCCAACTCTTGGAGCGTTACAAATCACCTGGTCCAGATGACTTACCTCCGGCTCTTTTTAAAGATGATGGTGACTTTTTGACTAAGGAATTGACGACGTTGTTTACAAAGGTTTGGGAACTAGAGAGTGTACCAACGTCATGGAATGAGTCGATAGTTGTCCCTATCTTTAAAAAGGGTTCACGTCGTTCCTGTAACAACTATCGGGGGATAAGTTTACTTCCGATTGCGTCCAAGCTATTGGCTTCCGTCATTCTTCGTAGGTTGTTCAAAACCCGAGAAAGATTGACTCGCGAGGAGCAGGCTGGGTTTCGTTCTGGTCGAGGATGTATTGATCATATCTTTACCCTCCGCCAAATGTTAGAACACCGCCATACTTTTCAAAGGCCAACAATCGTAGTGTTTCTTGACATCAGGGCTGCCTTCGGTTCGTTGGACAGGACTGTTCTCTGGGATTGTCTATTGAAGAAGGGTGTGCCTGAGAAGTTTATTAACATCCTAAAAGCCCTATACACAAACACCTCAGGCAGAGTGAGGGCATACAACTATCTCTCTCCATTGTTCCATTCGAGCAGTGGGGTTAGGCAGAGTTGCCCAATCTCACCATTCCTCTTCAACTTTGCCATCGATGACATTCTGGAAACAGCTCTGATGGATGTAAGTAATGGTGGTGCGGACCTGTTGCCTAGAGAAAGACTTCTCGACCTTGAGTATGCGGATGATATTGTCTTATTGTGCGATAATGCCTAAGCCATGCAATCCACACTTACTCAGTTGGCAATCAATGTCCGTAGGTATGGTATGTGCTTTTCACTTTCAAAGTGCAAAGTACTTCTACAAGACTGGCAGGATTCTAATCCTGTAATCACCCTGTGTCGTGAGTACCAAGAAGTAGTCGAGAAGTTCGTGTATCTAGGTAGCTGCATGAGTTCTGGTGGTGGCGTGAGTGATGAGATCAATTCACGTATAGTGAAGGCCAAAGCGACTTATGACAATCTGGGCCACCTTTGGCGCCTTCGTGATGTTAGTCGGGCTGTAAAAGGTCGGATCTACAACGCGTCGGTGAGAGCGGTTTTGCTCCGTGCTTGTGAAACCTGGCCTCTCCAAATTAGGGATACTAGACAACTTTCTGTGTTCGATCATCGTTGTCTCCGAAGGATTGCTGACATCCAGTGGCAACACCATGTCAGTAATGCAGAGGTTCGGCATCGTGTGTTCGGGCACAG